AAATGTGTGCACAGCTTAGCCTCAGGAACTCACCTAGCCTGAATCTCAGACTTCTCATCAGCCAAACTGAAGAGATATTACCAACCCTGAATGGCTATGAAGATTAAATAAGAGGAAACATCTCGCCCAGGGAAAACACAGGGGTGATTCCTGCTGAACGTGCCTTCCTTCCGGACTGCTCAAGACTGTCTTGCTTAAGCTACGGGACTCTGTGGCACGATCTGACACGGGGTATTTCTCGGCCACGCTTGAACCAGGTCACTCTCCGGGTACCCTCAAAGGTGTCTGTGCTCTCTGTTGAATGAAAGGACAGTGGTTACTTCTGCTCATCAAATTTTGGAGATGAAAAACAGGTAAAGTGCTTAGCACAGTGCCATGTACCTAAAAGGACCCAGTAAGTAGGAGCTATCACTCTTTTTCCATTTCTCCTTCCACCTCGCCCCCATCTTGCCCATTTCCTTGGTGTACAAAGAGGAGGAAAAGTGCTCAAAAGAACTGTGAAGCCAGTGAAGGAGGGCAAGGGGACAAAAGAAGGAGAGGCAGGGGTTAGGGGGACTGCTGTGAAGAAATAGAGAAACTCCTCCAGTGTGGACGAGAGCATCCTCAGCGACTCCCGGAGGCCAGCGTGGATGGCCACACGGAGGCCGTGATCCCTGCCTAGAGCTTTAGACCGCGCTGAACCTACAAGGCTTAAAAACAAACTCTGAAAATCACAGAAGTCCCTCATGTGGCTAAATGATTGTGCCCTGGTATACATTAGTCCACTCTGGGACACTCAGGTACAAAATCTTACATTTCAGGAACAAATTAACAGACCTTGTGGGCATTACTAGTTCACTTAGACCCAGAAATAAAAGTTCTCTAAGATGTGACAGCACCAGATCCTATAGATTTGAAGCAAAAAGTGTTCAGACAGAGTCCTGTCCTGTGGTTTCTATAATAAGATGTAGACAGCCAGCCCCCGGGGCTTCAAAATAAAGCCTTGGCTTTCCCAGGAGCCCACCACTCCCAGTATTTATGTTTAGTATTAAATACCTTGTGAACACATAACAACCTTGGCTCCTGGGGCTTCCTCAGGAATTTCAGAAACACCTTGAGCCAAAGCTTCAGGGCATCCATGCTACCTACCATCTGAAGGGGATGCAGATTAATAAAATGGGAAGTAACTTATTTCTGGCTATTATAGAGCTTCAAGTTTTCCTTCATTTTGATTAGCACAACTGGGTAAAGGCTGAGTTGTTTAGAATTCTTTTTTATCCTCGAAAGGAAAAGTAAACTAATTCTATACAAAATATTTAGAAAACAATAGCCATCATTCAGGAGTCTCAAATCTTGGATTGAAATAAAATATACTATATGATTTATCTTAGAAAAAATCAGCCCCAGCAGCAATGTGAAAAAGCTCCAATTTTAACGGTACCATAAAAGTGTTTCATGCTGTACTCAGAGACAATATCTCATAATTCTTTTATGAACTATGAAATAAAACTATTTATTGAGGCCTTGTAGGCAGGAACACAGATTTAGGGAATCGAAACACTAAGGATTTCCATTCATGGCCCCACCACATGAACCTCTAATTAATTATGGGTGTCCTAACATGAGAAATACTTTCATAGCTGAAGAGTGGCCTATTCCCATTCATAAGCAGACCACAAATCAGCTATAACTCCCCAAACACCATGAAGGATCTGCTTAATTTGTATCTGTGTTGAACTTCAAGTGTTGCATAATTTATATCTAAAATCCACTCTCATACATCTACTCAAAGACCCACTCTGACCTTCGATCCCAATCCCAACTGCATTAAAAGGGACTATAAATCACAGGGACACAGCACCCAGTCACACCCCAGCTCTCTCAAACCCAGGCAGCTTTCTTACCTTGATGAGTTCATCATCCCCTGGAGGAGGTTATAAAACTTGTTCATATTTTGAGATAATTCAATGACTATTTACTATTCACCCAGTGATTCACTATTCACCCAGTAAGCCAAGTGGCCATCTGGGCAAATTGAGCAGGCAAGTCCCTACAGCCCTCCTGCTATCCCTACCTGGAGAAGACCACCCTCACAGCTGAGATCACACCTTGCAATGGGCCTGCCCTCAATTTAACAGAGTTCTGGTTTTAAACAGACTTCATTCCTAAGGATGGCACAAAGTATAAAGATATAATCCTTACAACTAAAGATCCCCTTGACTATGGATCAAGAGAGAGAATGCATTTGTATAGGACTGTCCTTTCATTACAGCAAAGCTTTGCTTTAAAGTACAAACATTTCTTCATTCCTAAAAGATGGTTATTTTGTTTTCTCAGGTTTGCCAGGGAAGGAAATCTTTGAAAATGTCTCTGAATCCATGGGTGCAGTTAACACACTTGTCTGCAGATGCAGATGATGAAAACCACCCCCAACCTCAAACCAGTATGGGGAACCAAAACCCTGCCACAAACAGGCTCCATCCAGCAGCTGCCAGGGAAAGTCTCCAAAGAGATCAGGCTGAACCATGAGGAAAGGTTGCCACCCACTGCCACCCAGCAGTGGACACCTGAGGATTTTCTCTGGCAACCATGGTATCATGTGTCTGAGAAACTGGATCATCCAGGGTGGCAGCAGAGACTGGTAGCTGGGCCAATGGCCAAGCTTGCCTCAGACCAGGCACCCTATGAATCTGTCTACAGAGAAGCAGTGTTCTCAGAGTTGACCTATGTTTGTGCTGTTCAAGGGACTCTAAGTCTATGACTCCCACAATAGGGTGTTTGACTGAGGCCCTGTCCCCACAATCTGCAAGGAACACATGTTGTTGACTCTCTGCGAAAATCCACAAGACTTAGGAGCATCCAAAATGCAAGGTCACCCTGCTAAAAAGAAGGTGAAGGGGACTGGACCATACCTCTCCACCCTCTGGTTTATTACAAGGTTTGAAGTTTCCCAGGCAGGATGTAACATAAAAAGAAGAAAATTCTTCCTCTCTCCCTCTCTCTCTCTCTCTCTCTCTCTCTCTCTCTCTCTCTCTCTCTCTCCTCTCTTTCTTACCTATTCTTTAGCAATGATGTCTTCCTTGAGAAACTCTCAGATGTGCTTAGGGGCTCTCCATAGTACACCCAAGTTAGCAATGTGTCAATATTTTCTTCCTATATTTCTGGGCCTCAGCATCTTTTCCTACCTCTGTTCCCCTGGGATACAGTTTCTTCTCACTGTAATATATAAGAAGATGCATAAGAAAGCTATTCAATTTGGAGGATGTTCTTCCATTCTTCAGTAGAGAAAGAACAAGGGAAATATCACCCTGGAAGAGAATAAAGCTGACTGTATATGAAAAGGCAGGATTTTCCAAATAGTTCTGCACCCCTGTTGTCCTTTAGAAAAAAAAAAAAAGCTCTCTGAGTTTCATTTGTCGGAGAAGAAAAAGAGAAGGTAGAAATCCAAATGAGAATAAGAATCAAGAATTATTGCCTACCACCAGACTAGGTTTGATGCATGGAACCCAGTAACAAGTAAGGCTCTGATGAGGATTAAAACAAAGCCCCCAGTGCCTGGATTCTAAAAAGGCATAAATCAAATACCCAGGCATTATAAAGAGGAAAGGTGCCCCTGGAAATTGCAGAGTGTCCCCTCAAACTGTAATATCTAATAAGATGTTAAAATGGATTCTGCATGAGTCCATTTGCAATTACCTGGAACAACATGAGATAAAGAAAAGCCACTGGCATTGTTTTGTGAAAAGCAAATTATTGGTCTAGTTTCATTTGGCTCCATGGTAAAGTGACAGGAACATGCTAGAAAGCAATCAATGGCATCTCCAAAATCTTCAGTTAGGCTCTTACTGCCACAAGCAATGTGAGGAACTGGCCTCTGAATGAGTGATTTTGGGGCTGGTGGCTGGAGAGGACAGAAACATGTCTTTGGGAATGAGGAGGGGAAAGAAGCCAGAGGACTCCCCACGAGGCAGAAGAGAGGTCAGTTTACTCGTCCTTCTTTTAGGGGAGGCAAAGCCCACACCCAACTCTGACAGCACCTGGGAACTGGGAGGGTGGATGCTGCCTGCAGAAAGCAGTAGGATTTCTCCAGGCTTCAGGGAGTGCCTCTATTTGGTATCTTCTGGTTCATCCCCCTTTAGCTTATTGTATTCATTGCTTCCTCTTTTCCAGGGCTCAGAACTGCCCTGCCAAACTCAATGTTGAGAAGTAACAACAAAGTCAACCTGCTTATTTAACTCCTTTCTAACAAAGAGGAATATGGCTTTGCTTGGTGCTGGTGACACCATCAGTGGCTTTGTTGATCCTGGCAAAGGCATCAATTTTACTTAGGCCTACTTTTCTGAACTTGAGCCTCAATTAAATATTTACTATTTAATAAATATTAACCATTGCTAAAGTGACCTTTTGTTCTAGTTTACCAAGACAGTCCCAGTTTATGCCTATTGTACCACCAAAATTATTCGTATTTCCCCCATCACTGGCATAGGGTCCAAGTCTGGAGGATATTTATGCTCACCCACAACAGGGCGCATGGGAAGTGCTTCCTTCCCCACCAGCCTCTCCCCTCTAATCACTACCTGTTTCTCTCTACCCATTATTTTTCAGTCATACCAGCTATCATTAATAATTTATTATTTATATCCCACTTATTTCCCAAAGGATTAAAATGGTATACAATGCATTCACTTGACAAATATTTACTAGAAGCTTAAAGTTCTATGAAAACTACCTGAGGATACAGATATACACAAAGGTGTTCAAATAAAAGTTAAAAGTGAGGCAATGAAAAACATACAGAGGGGAAGATTACTGAGTTTGAGACCATGGGTGAGACAGTAATTGTAACTCCTTTTGTATTTGACTTTGAACCTCCTGGGAGTGACACCAAAAAGGAAATTACAGTGTATAACACATCAGTCATATTGCCTAAGGAAATAAAACTTGGACAAAAAAAGATACTTTTTCTCCTGGCACTGATTCTCATAGAATTTAATCATTTATTCAATCAACATTTATTGAGTACATACTGTGTACCAGGCAATATTCTAGCTGGTGGGATACAGAAGTGAACAAAACAGAACAGACAAAAATTCCCGCCTTCAGGGAGTTTACATTCCAATAGGGTGAGACAGACAATAAATAAAATCATGTGTCAGATAGTGATAAGTACCATGGAGAGAAATGAAACTGGGACAGAGAACAGAGAGAGCTCAGAGAGGAGCCTGCAGTTTTCATGAGGTGGTTAGGAAACCGCCGCCTGAGAAGGTGACGTCTGAGGAGGGACCCGAAGGGGGAGAGGGAAGTCCCACGTGGCTGTCTGGGGAGGACAGCTGCCCCGAGCTGGGGCCAGTGTGGCTCCCATGACGTGGATCAGGAGGTTATGAGGACATCGAGTCAGAGACAAGAAGGGAGGGACAGGAAATGGTGATCTTGGGTTGTTCGCTTCCAATAAGACAGAAAGTCACAGGCAGATCTTGATCGGAGGCATCGCGACCCGGCACACTGTAGGGATCATTCTGGATGCTGTGTCGAATACAGCTCTGGAAGAGCAAAGTGCAGAAGTAGAAAGACCAGTTTAGGAGCTTGTGAAATTTTGCAGACAAGAGAAGCTGGTGTGAAATGATCAGATTCCGGATGTGTGCTAAAAAGAGAGGCAATAGGGGTTTGATAACAGGTTACATGTGAAGCAAGAAAGATAGTGGCCAAGAGGGTTCTGAGGTGCTTGGCCTAAGCTGTGGAGTTGCTGTTTATTGAGATGACAAAGACTGAGAGAGGAAGAGAGGGTGGGGGAAGATCGGGAGTTTGATTGTAGCCATGTTAAATGAGGTGTCCCTGTTGGACACCCGAGTAGAAATGTCAAGTCAAGGAAATGGTCAATATGAATCTGGGGTTCTCATTAGAACTCATATAAAGGACATGGAATGGTGAGGTGGACAAGGTCTTTAACAATTATTTTTGCCAAAAGTACAGAAACATTTGTTTTATGACCATCTTTATATCAGTCTGCAATAAAGATCAAGGGCACACTCTTCAATCATAGCGAAGTGAAGGCATTTCTAGAAGCAGCCAAGTTGGTGTAGTAAATGTCCTAAGTGACGCTGCCTATGGGAATCTGACTTAGAACAAGCACAGAGCTAACTGAAGCTGGAGGAAACGGCAGTTCACCAGACCTCTGACTATTTCTCTCAATAAGAGCTCAGATTTGCCTCTGGCAAGAGTGAGCTCTTTGATTAAACTTACTCTCTTGGGTAGCTGGATGGCAGGGTTGACAGTTTGCTATTAAAAGAAGAAAAAAAGAGTCTGATAAATTCTCTATCCACATCAAGGCCCATCTTATCCTACTAGGAAGCAGGTCACTGGAATGCCTGAAAGATCTACCAGAATTTTTCTTTAAAAGGACCTGTGAGCTTACTGATGGTCAGAGAATCCCAGGCTCAGAATGATAAGAGCTCAGAATGAGAAACCTCAGTATGATAAACTGGTGCTTAGCAACAATTTGGAATTGTCTAAGTTAAAATGTAAGTTTTCCTGGTGAAAGGATAGATCTGACAGTGGCTTACACAGAAAGAGATGTTAATCCTTTCCTCAGCCAAATAACAAAAATGTCTATAGTTACTCCAGGCCATACAAGTCTGGAGGCAAAAAAGTGTGCAACAGTAAAAAATGTAGCAGAACTATCAAAAATACACACCAGAAACATAAATAGGGAAAGCTATACTACAGTCGAGTTTTGTCTCTGAAAATGCAAAAATCACAGCCTTTGTAAAGTCCTTGTAACCAGGGACTTTGTCTTGTTCAGTCTATCCCCAACACCTCCTGGAACAATGCTAGCACATAGTAAGCATTCGATAAAATGTTGGTGACAAAGGAATCAAACATTTAAATAAAAACCTATGAGCGCCATCTTGTGGAAGGCCTAATGGGGAGGGCATTGGAGATTCCAGTCACCAGGCTGGGGAACAGACAGATTTCTGTGCGTGACAGGGCCTTGGGGGCCATAGACTAGTGGAACAGGGGGGCTAGGAAACTGGTCTTGAAGCTGTTTGCAAACCAAGTAGATTTTTACTTACATTCAGGTGAAGCTGATGAAGGTTACAGAGGACTATAAAAGTTCCCCCAAGCCGGCCTCTGGCACTGGCCCCTCATAATAATCAAGAGGTGTACACACAGGAGTGTTTAATCCATCCTCCCCAGCAAAAACTGTTGTGATCACCTAGCCTCAGGTTCTTCCTTTGGGCTTCAAGATCCTTCAGAAACAAAGATTCAAAGAGCTCTTTGGACCCCTAGTAGCATCCTCTGTGTTCCTGTTTCTCCTACATTCCTCCCAGTTCACTAGGGACCCTGCTGCCTGCCACCCAGGATACTGGTATGGACTTGGCCTCTCTTCTGCTTTTCTCCAACTTTCTCCATCCACATCAGAGGAAGGAGGGGGAGAGGCAGAAATAGTTATCTGGTCACCTTACAATTGCTGAACTCCTACGGGACCACCAAGCAGAGGTAGAACCACCACAAACCACCGAGGTTCTCTGTGTCCATGCCTCTCCCACTGGACTCCCCTTTTCCCACACCCTCCCCAAAGCCTGGCACAGACTTGCAAGGAGGCAATATGAAGAAACCTAGCAGCACACACTCCTGGTATGCATGGGGTTCTCAGGATTATCAGGTTTTCTGTATACCTGGAGCTTTTACAATCTGGTGGACCCTTTTAAAGAAAAAAGATAAAAATTATAAATACAATTAGGTGTTAAAGTATTTAGAATGGATAAAGAAATCACAAAAAATTACTGGCACTTCAAAGGTCTAAGTCCTTTTCTTCTGAACTCTGTAACAACTGACCAGACATGGATTGCAGCCTGGCCTCCTTGCTCCGTGTGAGCCACGCTGCAACTCCCATCAAGTCCCCTCAGAGAGGCCAGGACACATGGACCTCACTGGCTTCCTGCAGCGTCTCCCCTGAGCAGCTCCTTGCACCGCCCCCCAAGAGCACCGGAGAGTAAGCTGAAGGTCCTCCACGCTGCTTAGGGGTCTTTGTCCTGGGACCAGCCCAAGTGAATCCACTCAGGGATCCTCATGAGAATATACACTGCGCTACCAGCCCACCCTGAAGCCCGCCCTGAAGAAGTGACGGAGTGAGAGTATCAGCTATGGCAGCCCACAGGCCAGTCTGTCCTTGGCGGCCACCCACCAAGCTGAGCGCTGGGGCCCAGGATTCAGGAAAGCTGACATGGCCTGAGTTTGTAATTAGAAAAACAAGGCTACAAAAAGTATATACAATACGTAATATAAACAAAAACTCCATGGAGTCTTCGCCGTGCCTCTGCCCAAGACCCCAGTGTGGGTTGGCGGTATGGCTGGTGCCCGCCGGCCCCAGTCCGGGCCGTCTGCCGTCCACAGTCTGCATTTCGGGACACCTGAGTGTTGGCCATGACGCAGACGATGGCATCTTTCTGCCAGCTTCTGATGCCTGGGCCAAGCGTTTCCCCGCGGGGGGAGAGGCTCCAAAAGGGGAGCCCAGGGCAGGTCCCGAGGCCTGGAACGCCCCGCGCGGCGGCCCCCGGAGGGCGCCGTTCCCATGGTAACTGGAGCTAAAGCAAACGCGGTGGCCAGGAGATCGCGCGGGATCTGCACCGCCCGGGCTCGGGTAAGGCTGGGGACCCTGGCCGTGTGCTGGGAAACCGACTCCCTCCTCCAGCCCCCGCCAGGCAGTGGGGAGTGGGGAGCAGAGTTGGGGTTCTGGGAACAAAGACGCGTCAAGGCGCAGACCTCTTTTTTTCTCTCCCCCCGTTGGCTTCTCGGTCTCTCTTTGCCTCTGTTCCGTTGCAAAGGCGGTGTCGGCTCATGATACTCCTGCAAAACAGGGAGGACTGGGTCCCTTCGCTCCGGAGGGCCCTGACCCTGCGTTTAAGGAAAAACTATGGGTATGGATGGTATGACTTATTCCTTTTCAGCCTGCACAGACCAGTCAACTAAGCAGGAAAACAACTCCCCAAATCCAAGATTCCAGCCCTGCCCACAAACCAGCTCCTGTGACCCAAAGCAAACCACTGTTTCCTTGTGTTCCCTCCCTCCACATCTAAAACGGGGAGAGAAGCAGCTCCCTAGCCTTCCAGGGAGGCCCTGAGGAAATGGCCGATGGCTGGGGCTCCACAGGTATTCTGTGCGGATCGCTGGCTGAAGGTCACCCTCCTTTAAGTTCAAACCTGAATATATTTGAAATTCTGTGTATAAAAAATGAACGGGAAATTGTTTTAATGAGTACAGGAGAGTGGCTACGCTGCTAAAAACGGACTGCACTGATTGGTCTAAGGGAGGTCAACAGAACTTTTTGACTTTTTTTTTAAATGGCATTTTTAAATGAATCCGGATCAGCCCAGCCTGGTGCTACGGAACTCGCCCAAGTAGGCCATTGGTTGCTCCCCAAAGAGGGAAAGCAGCTACCTTCAGCCAAGAATCCTTCCAGTTAGAGAGGTTACAAACAGCTACTGAGGACAGTAATAGCAACAAGGCTTTGTGTTTGCAGGTCCAGTGTCGAACACCCTGGGTCCTTTACAGAAATGAGACGTCTACCCTTGCTCCAGCTAGGGTTTCCGAGCCTCCACGGGCGACACCCGAGCTACACCCCAGGGTGCCATGCCCACCCCATTCTCTTCAGCAGCTGCATCTTTGCCAGCCCGCCACAACTCATCTCTTGGTTGTCTCTCTATAGCAAGAGGGAAAATCAAGTAGATGGAGTCCTGAAAAGTCCAAACCAGAAACTTGGTGGGCAGTCAGTCTCCTGTGAGCCCTTTCTTTCTATGGATAATCTGTTCAGTCCACAGACTTCTGTTGGAATCCTGCTACACAGCAGGCATTGTGCCAGGCTCCTGTGTCATGGGTGAGGCAGACATGCCTACAAATGCAGGCAGTTCAGGAAGAGAAGGGCACAAGGCCGGAGGCAGAGGGCAGACTCCTTCCAGAAGGCTTGCACTTCTAAGGTGAATTTGAGTTGGGTTTAAAGAATGAACAGACCTGCTTGAAAGCAATAAGGAAATTCAAAAGCAAGGCTGAGACCACAGACAGAAATCTCATCCTAGAAGAGTTGACAGAAATATATACTGTATTCTCCAGAAAATAAAGCAGGACTATGAATATATTGCAGTCGATAATGAAGAGGAAATGGAAACACAGGCTAAGAGGCCCCCCAGGCAGAAGGACTGCTCCTTGGCCTGAGTCCTCAAGTCATAGCTCAGAGAGGTTTTCAGTGCCCAGTCCAACTACAGGTAATCTATGACCAGCCCAAAGGCCTGTCCTTTTTCTAAGTTGACTCTTAATGCAAAATAATGTAACTGTTAATAGGGCCTACTTCTAGGCACATCAAGAATTGACAGGGAAGACATGAGCCCTACAGGTAGGATTCTGAATAAGAGGCCTGTCCTAGAACCAAATTTCTCTCCAGTCTCCTACTGGAAGGATCGTATACAGCTATCTACCAAAGCTCAAGGCTTTGCACCATGACACAGGATGAAACCTTGCCCTCCTATCTCTGCTGATGTAGTTGGGGCTCATGTGGAAGTAGAGCCTCAGCAGCAAATTGCTCAGGCTTCACAGTCCTCAGCCCTGAATCCTCAACCAAGCACCTGCTGCTTTGCCCCTGGATCTTAGGGGCTTACCTAGACTCTTAGGTAACTTACAGGTTGTGTAGTTCAAAATCTCTTAGCCTAGAAACATGTGCCTGTGTTCTTCCTGTCTTACTGAAAAAGGAAGTGCTAGTTTAATAACAGTTTATTCAGTTTTTCATATTTTATCCCTACAAACCCAACCCAAATATGGAGCCAGGAATGTGTGCCCTTTTAGACTGATGCCTTCACCTTTCACAAGAAAGGGATGCTTATGGAACATGTCCTGAGTCCTGAGCCTGCCTCTCAGCTCTAAACCCATCAGAGATCTCCAGTCCTGTCCTCACCAGTGGCTGTGGTAACCTTCAGCTTTCTGCCGGTGCATTGCTCTGAGCCCTGGCTTTCGGAGCTCAGCTGTGTGTGTATGGTTTGCAGCAGCCCACAGCTGTGCACCCAGTACCCTGGGAGCTGTACCGGATCATGTTTATGCACACACTCTTATAGAAAGAAACACTATCAGCACTCCTCACCCCGGTCATAATTTTCTGAATCCCTGACAATACTGGAACTCATTAGCCCTAACCAAATCAGTCTACACAACCAGCTATCTACAGGGTCCCAGGGATTCTGGAGTCAGCTCCCAGGTGGCACCTGGCACTGGCTCAGAGCCCGCTAATTCCCAGGACTCTGTGGCCTCTTGGGTACAAAGGTTTCTTAGGAGGGGTTCACTGCCTGAGGGATGTCCCTCTTTGAACAGGGAACAGGTCCACCATGGGATAATGGGTCTATCAAAGTCATCACCTGTTCTTCCTCCTGCAAAATTCCGAACTCCTAAGAACTTGCAGGTTCCCATCACCATTCTGGCCTCTGTGACATGAGCAAACAGGCCATTCTGCCTGAACTCCTGAGGATTCCAGTTGTCACACTGAGGATGGCCTCCAAATGACTGGGCGGTTATGCTTGGAAGAACCCAATAAGCAGTCATAGCAAAAAGCCCCTTTGCCCTTGATCCTACCAGCCTCCCCAGTGACTAATGGCATTTTCAGGCCACAAATGACCCCCTTCCTCTCTCTCTCTCCATCCCACCTTGGTCTCTACTTGCAATCTAGCATGCTGCCTGCTTCTGCAGTCCACCATGTGAAAACTTAGACACAGTAGCCAAGCAGCTGAACTTAATTCTTTAGGGAGGTCCTGTGGGGTTGACAGGGGAGTAGCCCCACTGATCAAGCAGTCAGGAGAGAGGAGGAAAGCCTGTGACACTGGGCAGTAATAACATAGCGTCTTTCATAAGTAAGCTTCCCTCATCTTCATCCTCTACACAGAATTCTCTTACCATTTCCTTACGGTAATTAAAGACTGTTCCCCCTCCTCCCAGCCCTGGAACATTCTTTGGCTAGATTTTAATTAAGTGGGGATGGTCCATTTCCCACATGGGCCCCCCGCCCCAGAAGTCAGAGGTGATACTGGCCTTCTCTTACTCTCTACTTTCTCCCCTTAATAGATAATTACTCTTCCCACTCATGTTGATATTCTCCTTTCTTATTCATAACATAACAACTATACTGTATTTTAATTTATTTCTCTGTCTCCTGCTTAAGCAAGAAGCCTTGTTGAGGTCTATAGGTGTGCCTTATGCAACCTTGCAGGTCCAGTGCCTGACTGCATCTGACACATGGAAAATATTTAATAATTGTTTGTGGCAAGAAAGAGAAAAGGGATGGGAGGGAGACTTGGAAGATGATCATTTTCAGCAGCACATTGTATAGGTCTGTTTAATACATTGGATGATAGAATCAGATTCACAAATATTTGAGCAGCCTGGAAGGCTGAGGCAAAGCCAGCAAGATGAAATTTAATACTTATCCATCTAAATACCTGTATCAGGTTCAAAAAAATAAATTTAAGTTTAGCTCACACACAAAAAGAGAAAAAACAGGTAAAAGAACATAAAAGCTACCTTCACATATTTGCAGCCTGCTGTGGAGCAAATATGTTGTGTGCAGCTCCAGGCAGCAGACTCGGGAAGGCTGGTTCAAAGCCCAAGGGAGGAAGATTTAGCAGCAGAAATCCATAATTTGTTACAGGCTAAATACAGGGCCTGGCAGATAAAAATGGGGGCTGTGATCTTCCTTATCATTATGACCAGCATCATCATCATTGCTTATTATTTATGGGAGTTATCCAGCAGCCTGCCTCAGGAAGCACTGAGCTTCCATCCCTGGAAATCCAGGTTATCACTGGGTAGCCACCTGTCTTGGGTATTTGTCGACCTGCCCCCTAACCCCTGGCTTCCCTTTCTCCACAATCCCATGATTGGAAGAACAGCGTTCTGTGTGTCCTGCGTAGTGACAGCTACAGATACACTGCCCAGCTGAGCTCTCTGTCTCCTCTGAAAAGCAGTCCTGCCCTCCCTGCATTGGTTGCAGTATGTCTCCTGCCTGTAACCTTGCCAAGGCAACTCTGATGTTGAAAAATAAAATTGCTTTGTGTGAAAGCTCTTTTAATCTTACATAGATACAAATGCCTTGTTTCTTTGGGGATGGGCCAAACAGCTCTTAGTATTTCAGAATTAATCTTATTAAAGAAAGCTCTGTTTCATCCCCATTGCTATTTTCCAGATATGCTGAATAATTCCACACTGGTTCCTACTGCCACTTTATGGTGCACTCTTTCCAGATTTATGTTGCCCAAGAAAACATACTGGTGGGTTTAGGCTGAACAACGGCACTCCCACTTCTGTCTGAATGCTGTAGTTGCAGAAATGTTCCTTTATATATCTTCATCTCATTTTCTTAATTAAAGAAAAGGAAAGAAAAAGAGAGGATAGGAGGAGCTTGCTTATTATGATGAATAACAAAATGAAATGATGAAGTTGGTTCACTAACTATTCAACTCAATACAATTACTTATGATAAAGAATCAGTATTACTAAGAAAAATGTAGTTCATGCAGGGTAATTATCAGTTCTCTCTTCCCAAAGAATATAGGAAACCCTTGATTTGATTACCAAGCTTATAAAAACATTTCATATATAAGCATATACTTT